ATGTAGCATTAAATTGCAGAGACATTCAAATTAATCATGTGATGTAATTTTTTATCAGCTTGGAATTTTCTTTTTCATTTTTTTCTGCAGCCACTAGGGAGGAAAAAGGGATTAGAGAGACTATGAAAACCGTTGGCATGCTAAGTCTGTTGGCTACTTAATTTATTAGCAGATATGGAAACTGCCTCAGGATAATGCTTTAACATGCAGGCTGGGAGTGAACTAAATCTCAGACATACCTGTTCCAAAATTGTGTTAATCCTTTCGACTTCGCAGTCAATCAAGTATCGTTTTTCCTGTCTCCTATCCATTTCTTCAATGATGCGTCTGAATTCCTGGATGTCCTTTATGTTTCCCACAGACCTTGCTGTCACTTGCCAGTTGTTTTGCACTGCTGCTTCCATAATTGCTTGTAGGATGGAAAACCCTGAAGGAAGGAAAAACAGCTATACTAATTTTTTTCCTTTTACAAATATTTCTGTAGGTGTTACGGATTCTACTGAGTTTCTATTCACAGTCCATTGGGTCTTTTCAAACTTGATTCACTGGAGAGAGCAGGTGAACTCACAGCTTCCAACCCAACTCTCCAGATAGTTGGCACCTCCATTTTGGTGTTTTGTTTTAAATGAAAGAAGATGCAATCATTTGTGAGCACCATGGAGATTGGTGTTTATCAGGTCATTTTTGTTTTGATATGCATTATCAAAACATCTATGGAATAAATGACAAGAACATCTTGTGTCTGGCTGCACTTTTCTCTGTTGCAGTTGAAGCTCATTTCTTTCATCTTTCACTTATGAATTCTTCAGAATTCGAGGATGAAAGAAACCCACAACAAAGAATTAGAAATAAATTTACTAGCAATAGAGCCTTATTAAAACAGGTTGAACCATACATGGATATGACTATTCAACAAGATAAATTGTGTCTCCCAGGTAATATCACTATAATTTTGTGAAAGACAGCCTCCAATACAGACTATTACTCTTTGATTACATAGGGATTCTAAAAAATATTCAATAAAATTAATTTTGGGGAGTTCTTTCTTTTTCCTGAATAAAATTTACCATGAGTTCCTGGTTCTACATTAGCTAATTTATATCCAACAACCATTAGCAACTAACAACCCATGAGCTCTGTTCAAAAAAAGGAAAGATGCTTGAGTTTGGGCTAACCTATTTGGAATTATAGGCATCTTGTGCTTACCATGCTAGAATTTGGGAGACAGAAGCAGTACGGTTGCCAAAAGTCCAAGGCCAACCTGAGGTATACAATGAGATCCAGTCTCAAAAATCCAAAACCAAACCAAACCAAACCAGACAAATAAATAAGCAAGCAAGCAAGCAAACAAACCCCCAAGAGCAGTGTCTCTAAAGAATGAAGCCCAATGGCACAAGCATTATTTTTATATATACTCTTTTAGAGTAGTCACATCTTCGATTTTATATCATATCTCCAGCTGTGCTTCTTGTATGAATTCATAATCTAAGTATAATCTCATCAAGAAAAGACGGTGTTATTGGGATATTATCAAAACAATCTCCCTACTCCCAATAGGAATGAATGATAGAGATGATTTGCGTATCCCAAATTATCCGTGACATAGTTCAGTCACCACAGAAGCAGAGGATGGAGGGAGATGGCAATGCCTTTTGAACATACTCCAAGTTCTCTGCTGTCTTGGGCCTACCCTGTGGTGTAAGCAGGCTGTGGTTTAGAGTCGTCCTCACTGTACCATAGAAAATGGTATTGACATTTGGAGAACATGCTTCAGGGAGATGGCAGCAGTGACTCAGCCGGTCATTATAACTCCTTTGTGTGCTGGGTGTGTGCAGGAAGAAGATCACAAACGAGACCCAAGCACTGGGTAATTTCCAAATGAGCAATTTCAGCACAGGAGCTCAAAATTACAGATCAGAGTAAATTACCATTGCTTTAAATGTTAATTCTTACTCTTATAAAACCAACCACGCATATTTATTTCTCAGATTTACATTTTCATGTGGGTTTTAGATGTACTCTCTGCTTCAGTGGGAGTTGAGGGCACATAGTGGGCCAAGGCATGGGATTAAGAAATATGCATAGGAAGAAAGAGATTAAAGCATGTGGAAAACTTTCTTAAGCAGTGTATAATAAGACCTCATTATTTTGAATGCCACTAATTAAGAATTTATGAAAATTCAGTAAGGACTGTGTTGAATTTTGTTCCTGGACTATTTATGAAGAAAATATTGGTTGAATAATAACTGATGAAACTACATAGGGAGTCTTTGATTTTTGTGAAGTAAACTTTTTTAAAAAGGCTCGTTAGCAAAGCACAAGTGTTCCTATGCTTAGTAGAAAATTCAAATTCTTGTCATCTCTGCTTAATGGACCTTGTCCACAATTTGTGATGACATAGAGCAAGATTAATATCCTTTCCATGTGACAGTCTTCCCCATTTTTGAAAGCTGTTAACATGTCTTACTTTAACCTTCTCTTCTTCGGGTTAAAGGTGTCCCAAACCTTCAACAATTTCTTTGATGTGATGATAACCATTTTTCTTTCAGTTCTACTCTTTTTTATGGATAATTCTCAATGCTTCTAAGCATGCATTAATTTTACATAATAACGGGTTTCATGCTGACACTTTTGTACATGAATAAAAAGCATTTTTATCATATTCATCTTCCATTATCCTATTTTGTCCCCCTTCCATTCCCACTACCTCCTTCCTCTTCTTAACTAGTTTCTCTTCTATTTTCATGTCTTTAAAAAAATGATCCATGAGTTTCATTAGGGTTGCTTACAAGGATATGGGAAAGGGATTATTCATAAGAGTGTGACCATCTTACTAGTGACTATACTACTGAAGAAAATGACTTTCCCACCTTCAGTAATGATTAACTGTCTCTCCACACTAGATACTATTATCTGCCTAGAAGCCCTTAGAGAGGGGTGTGTCTTTATAGCCCCTGCTATACTCATGACAGGATGTTGACTTTTCAATATTTTATTGATCTTGATATTTCAGATATCATCTGAACAGGAAGTTCAGATGGCAATGGGATTATTACTTATTTGGTTACAGGTTATTTTTTAGCAGGATAGAGCTTCTGGGAACAAAGTTCAGGGCCTTATGAATACCAGCTTGGGTTGATAATATATTTAAATAGCCAAATTTATTAATTTGTGTAGAGATTGGATTCAGTAGAAACCTGTTAGTTCTGATAAAGCTTTTACAACTTACTGTGCACAAATTAACATTTATAACATTCATTCAATTCTAACCTACTTCTATCTTCTTTTCTTTGATCCTGAACTGGTCCCTACTTATTTTGTTTTCATGTTCTTTCATATCTGGAAAATGGTTTCATTTACTAACAGAGTACTTTGTTACCTGTTTAGCGTAACTGCAAATTTGTCCCTTTACCAAGCATACCCTGCTACCTGTGGACCTTTCTGGGTGTTTCTCCTCTTTCCATAAAGCTTCTTTTAACTGCTTCTTAATAATTTTTCCCAAACATGACTTGTTTTGAATTCAAGACAAATAAATTACAAGCAATTTTGAAAAAAGCAGTTTGAATAACTGTTCACAGATATTTTAAAATGCAAAACACAATGGATTAAGTACATTATAGTACACACACACACACACACAGAGAGAGAGAGAGAGAGAGAGAGAGAGAGAGAGAGAGAGAGAGTGTTGTGACTAAAGTTTAATAGCCAACAATGTATATATATATATTAACAAGGAATGATTTCCACTATATATAATATACTATGTAATGTATAATGGAAAAATCTAACAACGTTAGCGTCTACAATGTAATTTTATTTTATTTCTTTTTCTTGCTGAAAAGGCTGATGGTTGTGGAAAAAATCCTCAAAAACTACTAGTGTTTTCTCAGAGACTCAGGATCATGAAGACATTCCACATTCACTGTCATTTGGTTATATAATGTTTGGCTCTTTTATAAGAAGCAGGTATTGTTCTCTGCAAGGGTAAAATCGATAAGGTTTTAAAAGTCTAGCACATGCTGTCCTCTCTGAGCATAAGCTACTAGAATATTCAAATGACAGGTCAACAATCTGCTTGCTATGTGCTTTCTCTTAATAAGCAACGGTTTTTATAGATATTTTTATACTTCTGTTCTTTGAACCATGGGAATGTGTTGCCTAATCAGAACCTAAGCAGAAGAAGCACACTGATTTTTGATGAGTATGTGTCTGGGATCCAGTTGACTGTGAGTCTTACATTTTTCTGAGCAAGTCACAACTGTGGCTTAGCACTGTGGTGTCATTTTCCATGCAGAGTTTCCCTGTGTCTTCTTGA